TTGGTCTTCATATCGCATAACACTGCCTCAATGTTCCTACCACCATACATTCCCTTTACAGTTTGATCGTGCAAGTGGTAGAGCCTCTTGACTTCGAGCTACATATGGAGACACTTCGCATGCGTGATATATTCTGACACTTACCAGGGGAACAAGTTTTGTATCCTGATAGCTCATGTCTAACAGTATGGATATGTGGTTATATTTTACCGCTGCAGTGTGACCACTTCTACTCGTGTACGTTCGTAGTGCCTGAAGCAATGCTCGACGGGCTCTCCCAATACATTGCGCATCCGCTACTGGTTTGCGCATGGGCATGACGTGGACATTCCGTACTTGTTTTTGTAGTCGTCTAATCGACACGAGGATTGGGAGTCTGACTACCACGTGACGTGAGTGAACGTATAACCAGTTCAACGTACGCATATTCAAACTTCCTAAAGTTGTGGGAATACGCATGGCCTCCCACTCCTGAAACAATGCAGCGTACATGGCAGCAGCCTCTCCACGTTGGTTGAGCAGCCCCGTGGAAAATGCCAACTCTACGGGGGAAAATGCGTATCGTTCAGGCGTCAAGTGAACACTACGTACTATACCTTCCATCCCCTTAACGACCTCTGTGATATACACCCAGCGGAATGTACACGGAGTATTTGTCGTGGCGTACTTAACTGCGGCGTCTTGGAAGCTCTTCAAATATCCAGCTTTTCCCAACCTACAGCAGTAGTTAGACTTGAATTTTGTTGAAGTTCCAACGTGGCTATAATGCATTGCTCAAGGTAACGACTTCTTGAATGCCTGCCGTCGCCGGGTAAGACAACACCGGCCACCTTGGCCAAGTAACGACTGTCGTGTGAGCCGTCTCACTCGCTCCCAAAAGGATGTACTCATGGGGATGACTGCACTCGAGTGCATCACTGCTCACACAAAATCTCACAGATAAATGTGGGCTAGCACTGTTCCTGTAGCGATTGCGTCATCTCCGTCCACGGCTTCGCCGTTGAGGAGGCGGCTGATGTTCATGAGTACAATGGAAAGTGACCTTCTTACTTTAGCAGCACCAATCAATATTGTGGCGATTGATTGGACAAAATGTATGTATTTATCGGATTCCTTGCAGTGACCTTTGGCGACATGTTCGATGCAGCGTGCTGTGTACGTCATAACGGGGATACTCCTTGTGCAGTTCGAGATCGCACTGGCGGTAACAATTTCATGAACTCTACGGGTGATCTAAAGCAAGATGTAAGGTGATGAACTGCAATCAAAACGCGCTCGACTGCGGTGTTTGGACGAGGGGGTGCGTTCCGATGTCGAGGCAATGGCAGCAACCCAACGACACCATGACGAATGGTTTGATGCGAACTTTATCGACCATAGACGTAGTGGTTCCTTCGGCCATTCCACGTCAGTCGCGGACACTTTTCGTGCCGTCCACGACACGTTTGAGCATGAGAATAAAGTCGCCCGCGAAGAACGCGACCTCAACTTCAACGACAACGTGGCAAGTAACGCGGACAACTTTGACGGAATGGATTACCAGACAGCCGACGACGACGGATTGAGCTCCGACAACATAACAGCGTACATCAGTGTGTTAACCAATTCGAGAAATTACTTCTCGCGTGTCCCCGGTAAGTGCACTCAAAGTGAGATCCCCTTACGTAGCAAATAGGATACCTGTACCTACTCCCGTCGGCCAGTAACAACTTCAAGCAGTTGAAGTTTGGGGGGAAGGCTGTTCATGTGTTCAGGACCCTGGGGCCCAACCAGATGAAATCAGAGTAGACCAGCACTGCCAGGGCGTGCATATCTCCGATCGAGTACTCGACGGAAGCAAAGCCATCAGGCGTCTACTGAGGACGTTTTCGGGGCGAAACGTGTCAAAGCACGACAAAAGCCCCATAAAAACCATGCCATTGGTGGAGCACACCAATTTGAAGGAGTTGCTAGTGGGCACCCTGACGGTTGCCTATTTGAGCGACTTTGTGGAGTATTTGCTTGGTAGTGCTGGTGTAAGTGGGTTGTGTGATCCATTGTGGGCCGACTTTGTGTACGATTTGTCCTGTACCTCTGTGGTCCCTGGATGACTTATACACGGCCCAACCGTTCTGCGCGATGTTCTTCAAACCATGGCGGTCACCCATACTATCGGCATCGCAAATGGCGAATTCCTGAAGCTGCAGGGTCGAATGCCAGTATTATCCCAAGCCCTTCAGAAATCTCAAATGCTCCTCAACCCAAAGCACCCGTTGTGGAGGGGGCTGTCCAAACTGCTAGTCCACCTGTCAGTCATGTGCGACTACACGTCGCGGTTGCAGCCCCATGAAACGACCGACAGTTTAGCATCCCGTGACGCTCGAGACTGCAATTACGACGACAAAGCTGCTTGCTTCCCTGGTACGCCCTGCATACGTTTGCTCGGCCACTACCAAAGCGACGTATCCCGTGATAAAATATGCACGAAGAAAGCTCCTGCATCAAAGTACAAATTGCCGGGTAAAATATACTACAACAGTTCAGGACGTTTATTTACATGCTTATACTCTTATTCGTAGGAATATTTCACTTCATCTGCCCACATTCCATTTGCCTTGGATTTGTTTTGATGTTCGACTACGAGAGTCCGTCCCACCCGTTTTCGATCCTCGCTCAGCGATTAAGCCGGACCGATGGGAAGCGTGTCGTCATAATCGACAACGCCTGCAACATCCAAAACTACTGCATGCAACGAGAGCCCTGGATCTTTCGAAACATTTGGTTCCTCGTGGATCGACTGCACTATGCAAACCACATCAACTGCTCCAGGTATTGATCACATTCCTCACAGACTATTCTAAACCTAGTGAAGCGGGTACTGCATAGACAATTTCCCTTCCTTCGCTAAAATATCTACCGTCTTGGCTGAAGTGTACAATTCACAACTCGCGTCAGTTGTCGTAAGCTGCGGATACATGAGGAGAGATAACTTCATGCTGTTCATTCAACACAACATGGCAACGTTAAATCACCGTCGAGTCAACACGATTCACGTGGAAGGTCAAGTTCGAAGCAGCTTTACGTCAGCCCAATTGCAAGAACTCAACGCGATGCTGTCGGAGATGCAAGGCGCCATTCAACCACCCGCGACACAGTGACCCTGCCAGCCACAACACCGTTGCAAGCTGTGTAGACTCTTCAATTAATACGCATTACAGACCAAATTCAATGCACACCATCCGATGTCATACGCATATGTAGCCCAGATGACGTGGTACTACCTGGGGCGAGCATTCGCTTACTACACTACTACACGTCTCAGCTGCGTAAACGGACACCTCGCACGCTAATCTCGCTTGTCGTGACCAAGCCGTTGTCATATGCATATGTAGCCTATATGACGTGGCACTATCTGGGGCGAGCATTCTCTTACTACACTACTAAACGTCTCAGCTACGTAAACGGACACCTACCACGCTAATCTCGCTCTATTCACTCCAATCTTGGACCAGAGCCTAGCCAATTGTCATATGCGTCTCGCACGCTAATCCATACCAATCTTTGACGATGGTTTTGCCCTACTGTGATCGCTAGCAACATAATCTTTCACCACGGATCATAAGGAGGGTGTTCGGGTTTTACAGAATCACAAATATATGGTCGCTTTGGTTTTGCATAAAAAAATGTTCTTCTGCGGGATTTGAACTCACGCAAGACCACTTAGATGATTCACTGGGTGCCTAAACAGCTTGGGCACATTGTGCAGTATGAATTGTAATGAAGTTGAATCCAATCAGTTCTCTGTATCAGTAGCAAATTAGCCAATTAGGTGACACCGTGATTTTTGCTCTCATTGGCCATAATTCTCTCAGGAGGCAACGTTGCATAAACACATGATTGGAAAGGCACATGCCACATGTCATTACACCACGTTTTTTAGTCGGATACATGTGAAAAATCCAGACTCATTTTCAAGTCGAATGCCCGGATGATTCGGCATGGTTAATTGAGTTTGGATTATCATTTTTAAGACATTTCTCCGCGAGGGCCGACACTAGAACCACATGTTATGGAACCGCTTCGCCAATTGTAACGCGCCTGCTCGACCAGGGGCGGTGTGTAATCTTCAGGTTTTACTTCGCCCAACGCTTCATACCTCGTGCTTCGACCGATCTTCTTCGAAGTTCGGGC